TTGTAAAAATTATGCCGAAGATCCTGTATCATCATCATAATGATGGAACGCTGCCATTGTAATTGTGACTGGCAATGCTCCCGTAAATCTACTTTTGCAGCCAAACAAATAATTTCTGAGGTGCTAAAGATCAAAGCACTGGGCATGGATAGCACAGTGTGCTTCCAGTTGTGGAGTGCCTTGAGAACACTTGCCACAACTGCTTGGCCCAAGCACCTTCTGACTGGGAGTGCATTTACTAGTGCTTTGATTTCCAGTGCCCTGGAAACACTTTGGCTGCCTATCATAACTCACCCTCTGGAATTGGAAAATTTAGATAGAGAAAAGTTAGATTGCTCAAAATGCATGGTTCTGGATAACAGTTACCTTCTCCAAGTTTGAGGAGCTGGGGATGAGGCAGTTGGGAGGCTCACTCCCAAGCATAAGGTGGCAGATGCTGAGGACTCTCTTTCATCCTCTGAAGATTGCTGAAGAAACAAGGAGAGCCTATACATATCCCAATGTCTGTTAAACAAGAAAGACTGACTCATTAAGCACCTGGTATCCTGAGACAGCTGGCTATAAATCTCCCAACTGTTCCCTGGAAACTTTCTTGGAATCATTCTGCCCTGGTGACTAGCAGTACTTTCAGTGCATGCTCTCTGACCCTCAGTGCATCTTCCAGTGAGTTCAATATCAAAGCATGTTTACCCCCAGGGTTGTGGGGGATGCTTGTAAATCATATTCAAAAGGTCATTTGTTTCTCTTTGAGGCTAGAATAAAAAGCCAGTATTGTTCAATATTTAATGAAAGGTAGAGTCTGGGCAGCAACTAATCTTTGGAGAAAATACTTCCCATTTTCTAAGAGGTGGGCATGGGTCTTCAGGAGAAGTGATGCAGGTGGACAGTTTTTCAAATAGCAGCCTGGCTTCTAGGATGGAAATAGAATATGGGAATAGGTATAAATTACTTTTTAAAAAAAATCTGTTTAGGGAGAAAATGAGAATGCAGATGGCTTCTTATCTTGAAAAATTAACTCTTCCTTTAAGATGTTAAATGTTCTTGGGAAGTTCTTGCTTAACTCTCTCCATTGATCCTCAAGCTCTCAGTGTGACGTCTTCATTCTTGCTGTGTAAATCCAGGAAGGACAAGATCCTGAACAAATGCTAAAAGAGTTCAGAATCTTCCTTTCTGAAATCATTTTTCCTTTGGTCTGCAGTGTGATTCATATATCCCAGTGGAATGTGCAGGAATAGCAGACTGGTCTTGTAGCATAACAGAACAACATAAAATCAAGCCAATACAGTATGTGCTACTAATAAGGAAATGCTTTTTATTTTCCATTAAGCAAAACAAGGCAATAAATCAAAGGCATTTTTATTTGACCTATGCATTTTACAAAGATAATAGATGCACATATGACAAATAGCCTGTACATGTTCTATGCTTTCATATGCCATGATGTGAGATCCTGTTCTAAAATATTGTTACTACTAGTTAGGAAATGAGAACAGTTTGTTTATGAGATTTATAGCCTACTTTTCTCCCAAAATGGGATTCAAAGGAGTATTCTTATATATGTAGAACTGTCTCACTCAAAGTGGTGGTGTATGGACCATTGCTGGTCCATGAGCCATCATCTACATCTGTGATGAGTTTCCAAGAAATAATGAAAGCTGTAGCCAATAAGCACAAATATGACACAGGTCCCAGGCACATTAGAAAAAAATCCTGCCAGTCCCCACCTCAGATAGCCTGGAAAGCACTGATATAGAAGATGCCTCTTGTGATTGTGCCATTTATTCAGGAAAATTAAATCCAAGTCTGTGGTTAATGAAAAATTCAAGCTGTTGGAAAAACCAATTTCAACAACTATTTATTTGGGAGGATGTTCTAACCTGAATGGAATTTTTGTATTTGGAAGCCTCTGATTGCAAACCAAATTCATTTATGGCTGGAGAGGTTTGTGTCTGAGTATATGTCTACTAGTCTGTTTTTAACATGCTTGTTATCCTTCCTTATTGGGTGGCCAACAGTTCATGAGAATGAGCAGGAGCCTACCTCCAAAATCTCAGCACCAGTTCATAGGACTAAGCAGAACAATCCCATGAGTAATGTTGAAATACAAGCAATGCCTTTGCACAAATTATGGAGCATCATTGCAAATCTACCAGCTAGAGCAACTTCTAGTGTATGTACTCCTGAAAATACCCCTTGACTTAAGTGTCCACATAACTGTACTACAATATGATAATGATGTGGCTTAAGTATTTAATTAAACTCTCACTAGGAGCCTTTGCAGACTGCCAGAAATAGTGCAAATTGAGTCCACTTTAAGGGTTAGGGTTAGTGCTAGGGAGTCATGGGAATTTTTTTTTTTTCTGAGACACTGAGCCTTCTCTGTCAGAGAGCTCTGGTGCCACAATAAAATACACTTCCCATGATTCCCTAACCCTAACCCTTAAAGTGGACTCAATTTGCACTATTTCTGACAGTCTGCAAAGGCCCTAGGGCATTGTGAAGAAGGCAGTTCTCTGCAATGGGTCCAACATATACAGGGCCAAAATGTATATTTCATAAGATGTAAAGTATGATTGGTTTAACAAGAGATATAGAATGTAATATATTTTAACATTTAGTTTTAATTATTTAATTTATATCTCATAAAACTGAACCCAAAGTGGCATCACTGGTTGAGTGCTGCACTAAAAAGGTGGTCTGCAGGAACTGGCTAGAGAAGCAGAAACTCTAATGCAAGTTAAATTCTTTGTTGTCGTTTTTTCTTGGAAACAAAACTGTGGATTTCATTGACATTTCTGGTGCTTGGGTTGAGAAAGTGCACTCAAATATAACTGAAGGGGGGGGTTCAGACTGCCAGAAATAGTGCAAATTGAGTCCACTTTAAGGGTTAGGGAATCATGGGAACTGTATTTTATTGTGGCACCAGAGCTCTCTGACAGAGAACGCTCAATGTCTCAGAAAAAAAACAATTCCCATGACTCCCTAGCACTAACCCTAACCCTAAAAGTGGACTCAATTTGCACTATTTCTGGCAGTCTGCAACCCCCCGTGTTAATTTCATGAGAGTCTACTGATCTGGAAATGTCAGTTGAATGAAGCTGGAGCAAATTCCATGCAGTGCCAATTTCACTTCTTTTTTTTTTAGCTGCTAAAATTGCAAGAAAGTTTAATCATAGAATTATCTATTATTGAAACAGCTGCAACAGATGGATTCACAGCTGATTGGTACAACACTCACAAATCCCATTGTCCTAAACCTTTGTGCAAGTTGCTTTGTGTTATGATGACCGGAACTGCTGCCAAGCATGTTTCATTGCCAAAGGCAAAGAAAGTTGAAATACTTTTTCAGTCACCTTCTCAAATATAGATGTTGCCATGATGTACTCTATATATCATTTATGTGTGAATCATGCCAAAAAGGTAAGATTTAAATTATTCTGTCATTACATAAAGGCCACATTCATATGTCACACTGATAGTTTAGTGTGATATAAACAAGCCACAATAAGAGTTAAACTTGTGTGCTACAAACTCTCCTCTCCCCTTACATGGCCAAGAGGAAGAATTTGAAAGATTTCACTTCCACTCTTGATTAACCACAACTTGTTATATCAAGTGGATTTCAGAACTCTTTACTAACAGCTTCAGTAACTATGTTTTGTAGCTGCATCAGAAGTAAGTATACTCAGAACAGTATATGGACATCCATCAGGGCCTCCTCTTGGCACTGTTGCTTCCTCACAACCCAAATAACCAACCCAAAGTCACCATTCTCCCTGCTGTTGCCAGTCACTCACCTCTCAATTCCATCTGGATGAAAACTGGCCACATCTGCAGCAGTTGGCCACTATCTTAAATCACACTATAATATGATTCCAGACATGAACACTGAGTATGGCATTTGGTGCAATCCCAAGATGGTAGCCAAACACTGTGGCTCACAGCAGAACAGTGCATTGGCTTAGCTCCTGTTCAGAGGTCTTGCTGCTACCTACTGGGGAAACATATATTGGGTGAAAGGGTGAGAAGATGAGAGAGACATAAAATTGTGTTAGTGTCCAATGGAAGCCAGCATGGTAAAGTGGTTTGAGTGTTTGACTATGACTCTGGAGACCAGGAGTCAATTCCCAACTTAGCCATGTAAATCCACTGGGTGACCTTGGTCAAGTCAGATTCTCTCAGCCTCAGGGGAAAGCAATGGCAAACCCTTTCTGAGCAAATCTTGCCAAGAAAACCCCATCATAGGATCACCTTAGGGTCACTGTAAGTCAGAAATGACTTGAAGTTACACAAGAATAACAACAACAACAACAGCGTGGCCAGTGGGGCAGGGGTGTAGTTGTGGTATTGTCCAAAGGGAGAGACAACAGGGACACTTGGACAGCCCCATACCAGGGGCCCACTAATTTGGCTTGGCTTGAATTCGCCTTGTTTTATGCTGCTCTTACTTCTCGTAAGCTACAATTTCTGTCTGATCATTTCTTTCCAGTTTTGTTGTATGTTACGAGAATCCTTCTGACCTTGTTTGCAGTACTTCTATAGGAATGTAGAAAATTAGATATTGGTCTGTCTAGTCCACTACTGTTGACACTGATTGATAGCATTTCTTCAAGGAGGAGTTTTGCTGGTGCTGGGAATGGAAACTGGGATGTTCTGCATGCAAAGCAGCTGCGGTGCCATTACCACTGGGCCATGGCCCTTGGCATACAAAGCTCCAGTGCATGCTCAGCAGCACAGAATGCAATCCACCTCTTGCCACAGGGCTCAAGGTGTTTTTTAAACTACAGTGAAGGTATCTTTACAATGGAGGCTATATTTCTATCTTGCTACTATGGATCCCATGCCAAGAGAAAGAGAGAGTATAATTTGAATAAATAAATAATAAATAAATATAAATTTAAATGGGTCTAGTGCAACATAATTAAGTTAGAAATGAGCCCAGTTGGAAGGAAAGTATCAAGGTGCTGGTGTGGTGGGGGGGGAGATGGCAGCAGATACAAATGACTGTGGTGCAGTGGTTAAAATACTGGACTAAAACTCCAGAGACCTGAGTTCAAATCCCATTCAGATATTGAACTCACTGGGTTACCAGTCACTATCCCTTAGCTAGTGGTGGCTAGTGCCTCTCATGTCAGTAGATTAGTGAATCCACTCTGAGTTTCAGTCTGAACTTTAAAGGAGTTGTCCTATATGTTGAACTTGTTTCATGGATAGGGTTTAGTACCTTGGAAAGCTCCCCAAAGTTCATATATAACCTAGATTGGATTCAGTGCCACATTGACACAGGGGAGGCCACCCATCACTGCTCTCCATGGGAGACATACAGCCACACATCCCCCCCCACCTCTGTTCTTTGGATGAAAGGCAGACTATACATGCAACAAATACATACATAAATACTGAAGGAATGTTTGAGGACTCTTCAGGCCCATGCTCCTGGTCTGCCTTAAAATATAAGCCTTCCACAGGCTTTAGACTTGAGAAATAGTCTGTGTTTGAAGTTTGAGATGGAAACTTCCAACTGAAATCTGTGACATAAGGGTTACACCAGATGATCACAACTGATTTCCTTGCTTCACACACTGCTTTGGACCCTCTGCTGCTGTTCCTTTTTAGCACAAGTCCAGGAGCCTGTGGAGAGATACTTCACTCTCAAAGGAGTGAAAATAAATTCGGAAATGAAATAGTTTACAGCTAGTCCTAGTCACCCCTTGGTGTTTGGCAGCATGAAAAGTCACACAAACCCTGATAATTTTTTTTTAAAAAAAACTGCATCCTATTTTGGTTTTCCTGCCCCCTGCTGTAGTGCTTTATTGGATGTAAGTTGCACTCCCACCCTACCAGCAGACTCCTCAAAGGGACATCTGTCTTGCAGAAAATAATCTGCTGAATAGATTCAGTCCAACTATAGGTATTCAAAACCACAGTAGGGTGGATGAGTTCTAGGAAGCAGGAATAATTTGTTTGTATGAAAAAGAGCATCACCCCACTATGGGAATTAAAAACAGACCCCCAAACACTGTTCCTTACTAACAAACACTTCATGGATAGATTTTTTTTTTTAGTTTGATATGTAACATACATTGTATTTTTTTTTAAAAAAAACTTATTTTATAACAAACATTCATCTTAATCACAAATGGGTATAGTTGAGTCAATGTTAAACCCTTTTAACCTCCCTTTGTTTGAACTGAGCAATTACTGAGATCTCTCTGGTTTACATCTCAAGAGCATCAATGGACTCAACTTTGGCTCAGAGTAAGCCTTACCACATGAAGCTTTTTCTTCTTTGGAGAAAGCAAGTTGGAAGGGGGATGTGGCTGTTATTCCTCCAGCCATTCCTCCTGAACCCACAGACATCTTCGAGGAAGTGCTCAATGTGTGCCACACTTGTTTCCCACACTTAGCCTGCTGCACAAAGCTTGGGGAAAACAGTTACAAATAGCTCATTTGTTGTTGCTTTCTGCCTTCCTCTGATGTGGAGAGAGTGTGACTAGTCCAAGGTCACCCAGCAGGTTTCATGGCCTAGCTGGGATTTGAACCCTGGTCTCCAGAGTCATAGAACAACACTCAAGTCACTACACCATACCAGCTTTTGGAACCATAATTAACTACTTTTAAAAGTAACTTTCCAAGCTCTGGTGTATGGTGTGGTAGAGAACTCTGGCCCACTGCCAGTGCTGGAGTGAGAGTTAACAATCAGTCACTTTATTTCAGGCATCAAAATTTTTTGAGCTCACCTTGCTTTGGATAGATCATGCTCTGTCTTTTTCTCTTGGTTCAACCTGTTTAGGAGATTAGGAGCACATTAGAAGCCAGTGTGGCATAGTGGTTTGGATGTTGGACTACAACTCTAGAGACCAGGGTTCAAATCCCCACTCAGCCATAAACCCACTGGGTGACCTTAGGCAAGTCTCTCCATGATAGGTTCACCTTAGTCACCGTAAGTGGGAAATGATTTGAAGGCATGCAACTACAATAAAGATATACATTATAATTCACATAGAATAAAGTGGCTTCCACACTGACAGTGCAACTCTGTTTATGTTGGAATGAAAGTACAGTATGCCCACTCCAACCAAGGGCTTGTCATCTGCAGATTTGAGTATCCATGGATGGCGCCGCACCATTGTTCCTAGTGGTAGCATGTGCACGTGGCTGCTGCAGTGCAGCTGCGCACATGGTACACCACCATTGAAAACCACGGGACTTGAGGTACTGCAGTTTTTGGCATGGGGGAGCTGGAACAGAACTCCCCCCCCCCGGTATATGAAGGGCTAAATGTATGTCCTATTGTTTTCAGTGAATCTTGCTCCCTAGCCCATGTGTATAGGATTCTGTCAAACTATAGCTGGATTGCACCCAATTATTTTTGCAATAAACAAGTCAGAAATGGTACAAAGGATATGTTTCTTAATGGATGTTCACTTCTCTGTGAATGACTGCCTATTTACTATTTTAAAGAGCATTGGCATCAGTTATTGTGCTGAATATTTTATTAAGGATGTTCATAGTGCTTGGTAGATGCACAGTATCAAAAGATGCGCATTTTAAAATTTCATGAAATGTATGCTTGGGATTAAACGTGAGCTCTCAAATTAACTAGATGGAACAGGCCAAGCCTTGTAGAACTTATATTCCCTAAAGGGCTTAAAAGAGAAAGACAAGTTGTTTGGCTAAGATACTATAAACAAGTCTTTGGGGAAGAAAAATCAAGATTTTTTTTTTTAAAATAGCTGTCATTTGTAGCGCATAAGCTCTGATAGACAGATGACTTCATGCAAAAAAATGAAGATGATTTTAGAAAGCAATTTTCATACTTCAAATCAACAGTTGTTCCCAAACATTTATTAAAAGCACTGGCTGATGTTTTTGTTCCAGGATGTTCCATTTTAGTTTTGGTGGGAAAGCTCTGATCCAGTGGCTTAATCCTGTTTGTGGAAGATCATAATCCTACCTGCCAGTTCTTTGAGGTCCTCCCTGCTCTGGCATAGTTTGGGTTCCCACTTCTTCCTTAGAGCCTTGAACATTCAAAGGAGAGACTGAAGAGGAAAGGTCAGGAAGGATTGGTTAGACCCAAGTATGGTAGAACCATGCTGAAGAAAAAGTCTGCTTAGACACAGAAAATGTTGCAAGCTCTTAGTAATTTCAAGCTAAATTAAACATGTACAAAACATTTTGAGCCTCATTCCAAAACATTATGATATGTTCTGCTACTAAAGGGTAGCAGGTAGAACACTAGTTTGAGATACAAGGAACAAGTGTGACATATACACTTTGGGAACAATGCTTGCTCATTACTAGTAAGTTTGTATCACTGCCATAGTCTTTTGTTGCTGAACTGTGACCATGTCATGGTTTTGTAAGAATTCTATATAAGCTGAGTGTAATTGCCTGGCAGTCATGCACTTCATACTGTCTAAGTAAACTGGCATCTGTCTAAGTAAACTGTTGTGTTCAATCTACTGAGATGACCATTCATGAACCTTAAAGTGTTAACGTTAGGATTGCAGTGAAAGAGCATGCAATGAGATATTTTTGATGTCTGCTTTTGCATTGTGGATTACACCATCTCTGAAAATTCACCAGAGGTTTACCCACCACAGGGCATGTGCACAACTGCACCCTCCATTTTGTAATCACTGGCATGGGATATACATACGCATACTCCTTCTAATACTGGAAGAGATACATCTTTTGATCCCAACTAATTAATGAATTTATTCAGCCCCCCCCCATAACCATCCAAATTAGCAGGTGTAACTACATCTTGTGGCAGTGAATTCCACCATTGAATTACAACATAGTTTAGCACAGGGGTAGGCAACCTAAGGCCTGGGGGCCGGATGCGGCCCCTCGAGGCCTTTGGACTGGCCCTAGGCCGGTCCTGCCGCTGCCGCCACCCCCCACCGCCTGCCATGATGATATTGATTATTGTTGTTATTACTTGTTCTTGGGGTTTTCTTGGGTCCATGGCTTTTCTGGGGCTGAGAGAGTGTGCATGCATATTTTTTATTTTTTTATTTTTTATATTTTTTTATTTGTATTTTTATTTGTATTTTATTTATTTATTTATTTATTTATTTATTTATTTATTTTTGGTGCTTCGGCCCCCCCAATTGTCTGAGGGACAGCAACCCGGCCTCCGGCTCAAAAAGGTTGCTACCCCTGGTTTAGCAGAAGGACTCTTGGGGTCCCTCTGCTTAAACCCACTGTTTAATTTATATGTATAACCAGTTATGAAAGTGTTACATGTACAAATAATAATCATACACAAGAGATCAATGTTGTTTAGACACCATAATCACTGCTCCCATCAAGCATCTATTTGGTTACTTATATCGAGGAGTTTGCAAATCCTTTCAGTTGCACTGAGTCCCATGCAGTCTCGGTGACCTAAATATGATTATTGGTCCCCACTGAATTAATCAAACTTATATAAGTCTTGACTTATCATTAATTTATTATTGATTCTACTCCAGTTGGGACTGTCAACCATAGTATCTTGTACTCTGATTATGTTAGTGCTTGTACTTCCCTCCTGCTGCCATACCATGTTGCTTCCTCCTGCCTATGCACAGGAAAAAAAATGGGTCAACAAAGTATTAATTGGGATTATCCTTGCAGAACTGGTACAACTGGAGGGTATGAAATTACATTTCAGGTTATGCAGTTTTCTGCATAAGATCTTTTCCTAGCTTTTTGTTCCTTATTCTTTTGTTGAGGAGAGCCTAGGTGACCAGCTCAGTGTTGAGAAAGTTTCTTGTTCTATGTTTTGTAATGCTTTTTATTGATTGTTGCGAACCTGAAAGGACATTATGTAGCCTGGACATCCCATGTCAATACAGAGAAATAGATTTTCATAATGGTTCTCAAGCATGATCTCCAGTTTAGCCATTTTGCTTTGCAGCAATGGGTCTGCAACAAAAATAAATCCTCATCTCCCACCAGTCTCCCTGTCCCCATACTGCTTATATCAGTGTTTTCAATGTAGTTCAAATTTAAATGAAATAATAAAAACAATAATGCAGTATAACTTTGTTTCTTACTTGCTAGGTTTACAGATCAAGCAC